AAAAACAAATTGGCGATGATTTCATAAGATCGGAAAGAAGTTGTCGTCTCGATCTTCGCAGATGGGGAGCTAAATTTGAAGCGAATTCACAACGCCCGTATTTTGAAGGACATGAAAGGGACGATGTCGTGAAACATCGTAATAAATTTATTGATTATTTTTTAGCGCACAAAGATTATTACTGCACAATTACAGATGGTGAAATACCTATGTGGAAAATTCCGATCCAAAATCCGCATAGAATACTTATATTTCATGATGAATCAACCTTTAGAAGTGGTGAAGTTAGTCCAAAACGTTGGTTTTCTGGAGAAAATTGACTTTGAAAAATCTTTGGATTTCAGGTATTTTGAGTATTGCTCATCTATTTCTCCAGGAAACCTGAAACTTTTTTTGTACCAAAATGATCAGGAAGAACAGCTCTACAAACCTAGACACAAAAGAAAAAAATTTGAGAACCTTGTGTTTTTGTGGTTGACTACCCATCGAATCATCCATAGATATTTGGGGTTGTTCGTAGAAATTCAAACAGAATGTGTTTATAGTGCGCAGAATTTATTACAGTAAAAGATAGTGAAAAAATACAGAATAAATGTAAAAAAATAGTTAAACATATAATAGAAGAAAGCTAACTTGGAATAGATATGAGGAAGAAAACTAACTAGTGGATAATGTTCGTTGATATTGATAGTACATGATGGCAATGTCCGATTTTTATCGTCGATTTGTACTTGTGGTATTTTAGGAAGAAAAAAGTATCGGCTATCTATCATGGAAACATGAGTTTTACACAACATACTTGACTTATTTATTCTCAAGACCATCACGACGGCGACGACCACAACCAGTACGTCGAATACGATCAAGAAGATCACCACCAATAGCATTATCATCACGACGACGACGACCAACACAAGGATGGCCGTGGTCAGCTTCAATCTGTGGTAGGCCTATTCCTGCTATTATAACTAGCAGGACGATTAAATAAACGATTTGACTGACAATTCGCATTATCGCTTGTTACCGTGAATGCTTGACGAGGAAGAAAGCTAGATGAATATCATTTAAATGGTACAGTCGTATACTTATGCATCGGCCTTATATATTCGTCGATCGCAAAATGACAGAGACAGATTAAGTTTTTTTTCGTCGAAATAGAGGCAGTTTCATCTGTCTCCCGCAGCTAGAGAGAAATACATTTATTGTCCTCTCATCAAGAAAGAGAAACACATTATTTTTCTCTCCTCGAAAGAAATAAAGTGCACTCCGCGCTCCGCGTAGGATGGGATGGGACTATCCCATGGGACTTGGCACTCATCAGACATCTTTTAAGAAAGTACAATTTCTTTGCACATTTATCAGTTCAACTAACACTATCAACTATTAAATTATTTTCATGTGTACTTCATACTTTTTTTATTATCAAGTTCACAACTCTTTTCTTTACTTTCAGAATGAGAAAAACATATATCATTCTTTCTGTGAAACGCAAATAGTAAAATAGGAAGAAAAATCAAATTAATAAGTGAAAATATCACTTCAAATACAGAACCTGGAACTGGCACAAATTCTCCTTTTATATCACTTTTTTTGGCTGGAAAAAAAATTAATCACTATTTAAACTGAGTGCATCTTACATTAGATTATAAATCATTCATCATTAAATTACTCATCCAGCTAATGAGAGAAAAGAAAAAGAGAAGAAATGCTTGTATTCAAGGTAATCCTATAGTGTACAAGCATTTAAGGTAAGCTATCATTTTGAATACAAGTAATCGATCAATAACTGATTTCGTTAGTTTCGGGCGTTATTCTCATGATGTTTATCAAAACAAAGTTGCGCAAATATACATATTTTTAGATTTTACGTTTATGAAAACTGCGTCAGGTTTCTGCGCACAAAAATGACGCTGATTTATATTGAGCAATCAGAATAAACTCTATTCTGATTGCTCAATATAAATTATTTCGGAAATAAAAAAACTACCAATTTCAATCGAATTAACGTTTTAAGAAAATTGAAATAAAGCAAGAAAGTATAGACACTAAAATACCTAGTTTGTATTGAATTTTTTTCCGAAGAGGATGCGTAATAAAAAACTAAAACAGAAATGAAAAAAATAACCAACCTGAATGGAACTTATTTCTCAAAAGAGGATTCATGAGACGATCGATATAGGATGTATGTATCAAAAGTTTGGTTTTGGGATAAGTTATACCATTCGAAAGCCGGTGAAAAATTAGAGTTGAATTCAAATTTTTAACTCTTTTTGGAAATCCTATCAAGAGATATGAAATCATCTTTGAACCCATCTTCAAGCACTTTGTTATAACCTTTCGAAAACTTGGATGATTATAGAGATTTCCGTTGTACACTCTACAAATACATAACGAGTTGTCCATAAAAAAACTGTCCTCTCCGTATTTTTGAAATTTCTTCTCTATCATCCCTATGAATAGAACATATTTTTTTATCAAAAGATAGCGTTTGAAATTCTCTACAAAACTATATATACTAGGTCCAAAAACTGTTTCGGATATAACTGAAAAAAGATGAAAATTAACGACATATAAAAACCTTTAAAAAAAATTAGACTGTTGGTATTTTTAAAATTTCTCCTCTACTATCTCCATGATGAAGATAGGTATTTTTATAAAAAGATAGAGCTTAAAATTCTCTGCAAAACTATGTATGAGTAGGTTCAAAAAATTGCTTTAGATGTATTTGAAAAACGATGAAAAATAATGACATACAAAAAGCTGTAGAAAGTAACGACTTGGGTATAATGAATGGTCGTGCTTTGCATCTCATTTTTCTATCATTTACTTCGTGCTAATAGAAAAACAAAAGATTCCAAAAGATGCAGTGTGAAAAGCTCTACAATTTTCAAACAACAAATTATAAAAAGAGGAAATAAGAAAAACGCAATTCATCGCTTACCAAAAATTACATTATTTTCGTTGGGTCGAAATTTGACGCTCCAAATGTTGTCCAGTTTGAGAAAAAAAAGTGCAACTATAAAATAAGTGCTCTTATGAAGCTCGTAGAGCTTTTCTCGCTCCATCTTATGGTATATTTTGTTTTCCTAATGCGACGAAGTAAGTGGTAGAAAAATGGGATACAAAGTACGGACATTGATTATGCCCAAGCCGTTACTTTCTACAGTTTTTTGTATGTCGTCCCTTTCATCTTTTTTCAAATATATCCAAAACAGTTTTTGGACCTAGTATATATAATTTTGTAGAGAATTTCAAACACTATCTTTTGATAAAAAGAGATGTTCTATTCATAGGGATGATAGAGAAGAAATTTTCCAAAATACTGAGAGAGCAGTTTTCTATGGGCCACCCGTTATAATATCATTGAAGACCCCTTGTTTGGTATTCCCTAACTAGACGTGCACCAAACCCAAACCGTCTGGATTTGCGCATAGAGTTTCGGTATGAATTTGAGATTTCCATTTTTGTGTGGCTTAGACGTCAAAGTTTCCGATATCTAACTTGAACTCAGTACCCACACCCGGACTCAACACTCCAGACTCAAAAATTCAATATGATTTAGGTCTGACATATGTCTAATTTCGACTCCTAACCCAAACCCATACTTCCAAACAGTTTGACTTTGGGTTTAGGTTTGGTGCATGTCTATCCCTAACGTTTCTTCACTGGATGACGCAAATGAGTTACGAAGTAATTCAAAAACTATGAATTCCAAAATAATTCACTGTATATCAGTTCCGAACCGAATTCTATACAAAACCTATGAGATTTTTATGGGATTCTATGGGATTCCTATGGATAGTTATGGGATCTCTACGGAATACCTATCGGACACTATAGGATTTCTACCACATAGCTTTGCAATCCCTATACGCTGCGTAGCGATACCACATACTATCAGAATCTCTACCGCATTATCATAAACTAAGAGTCAACGTCAGCACAATCCTACACTGTAAAAAAAAGGCATTCTACGGAGCCCCCCAAAAAGTTTCTGGAGATGTCGAAAGGATCAAAATAGTGCAAAGTCTGAAAAATAGAATAAAAAACCTACGAAAACTTAAAAGGTTGTTCCCATGTGCCCAGGGAAAGATCCTTTTTTCTCCGGCACCTTTTTCAAGTTTTGTACAACAGAAAAAGGTTTCGTAGGAAAATACGAAACTTTAGAGTTTTGCATTAAACCGTAATAGTTTTAAATGAACGCCTGTGAGAAATCATGAGGTTTAATCCGAAACTCTAACGGTTTTGTATTTTCCTACGAAATCTTTTTTTGTTGTATTAGGGAGATTAAAAAAGATTTCGGAGAAAAAAAGGATTTTCCCCTGCCCACACGAGAAGAACCTTTTAAGGCTTCGTTAATTTTTTTTATTCTTTTTTTCGAACTTTGACGCATCTGGTTGCTTGTTGACATCTCGGGAACCTTTTTTTACAATGTATAGAAAGCCTTCGAGAAATCGTACAACCACCATGTTCGTATTCCACCAGCTGCCTTTATATCTGTGGAACCATCAACAAAAAAAAGCATCACAATCACACATGTTCACTCCCAAATTGTCTCATTCACAGGTACCTCTAAGAAACACCTTGCTCGACCGATTTTTAATTAGCACACAGATCAACTAACGTGGGTATATCAATTCAAATTTTTTTGACGCACTGCTCGATCTGACTGTGGCTGCAAAGACGCGGTGGCTCTGAATGCACATTTACCATGCCTGGCTCGTTGTGAAGGTGCATATACGTGGAATGGTTCAGATGCACGATGATGGGATCGTTATGGGTTGCAGACTTTTTAGTTTTTAGACCGTCTCTTTAGTGAAGGTTGTCTCTACGTTTTCGAAAGGACTTGGATGATGGTCCTAGCGGTGTGAGTAGGTTTGAAATGCAGCTATGGCGTTGCTGGAAAAGATTTGGCTCAGTTGTTGTCCTAGGAAATGAATTGAACGTTGTAGAGAATGGTTACTGTGTCTCTTTGATTAAGCAGATAAGGATCCGGTTCTTTTGTGCTGGTTGAAAGACAGTTCGTAGATATGGGGGTGGTTCTCGAGAAATATTGTTTCAGCAAGTTTGGAGTTTTTGGCGCCGTTTAGTCATGTCGTTTCCCTCACTGGTCTTTGGTGATTATTGAATAGTCCAAGTTAATGATCAAAAATTTCCTTTTATGCATTTAAAAGGCACTTTGTAAGGTATACTCTGGATTGATGGACAATAAACAGGTTGCATCGCTACGGCTTGTCTTGATGTGACAGTGACGATGATGTTACTGCAAGACACACATTATACACATTTTATCTTACCATTAGTGAAAATATATTATAAACTTGATATTTTATTGATGAACATCTCGAGAAGAGATAAGGATGGACAACATTTGATCATTATTGCTGTTGAACATGACAATCGAAAACGTCATTTTCTGATCTTACATTTGATGAATTATCAAAATTATTACATTCTTCAGAACCATTTGAATATGTGTCTGTGACCTTACAATCCTATTTGACCTTTCACTTTTCATCTTTAACCTGGTCACAGACACATATTCAAATTGTATGTAGAAATTTCAGAGTATCGTGAAGTACGTTAAAGTGCTACAAAATATCATAAAGTGCCTTGAAGTGCATTAAAGTACAAAAGTACAAAGTATGATGTTTCTGCCTTGAGTTCGTATGAGTGAGTCGATAAGCTTGAGGATGCATGATGTGATATGATCGACGAGTGGTTTTCAAGAAGTGGTACTAATTCGATAAGTATATATACATCGTTTGCTGTGATTCGAATCGTAAAATTGTATTTGTACATATCAAATGGTAACTCTGTTTCGATTCTGTTGATTAAGACAAAGCAAGAAAATGGTCGATGGTTCTTGTTGAAATATCTATTAACTGATTCATACACTTTAAAATAATATCATGGAACAGTTTTTGTAAGATTAACAAAGATTCTTCAATATTAAACGACAAAGTTGAATGTATGTTTACATCCAAATCAAAATATAGTTTATAAAAATTATCCTGACATAAAACTTCATACAATATGCATCTAAATGGTTCTGAAGAATGTAATAATTTCATCAAATAATTCATGTAATAATTTTGATGTAATAATTCATCAAATGTAAGATCAGAAAATGACGTTTTCGATTGTCATGTTCAACAGCAATAATGATCAAATGTTGTCCATCCTTATCTCTTCTCGAGATGTTCATCAATAAAATATCAAGTTTATAATATATTTTCACTAATGGTAAGATAAAATGTGTATAATGTGTGTCTTGCAGTAACATCATCGTCACTGTGCGATTCATTCGATTATTGTGCGAGTATGTTAAACAAAGCCGATGACTCAGCAATACTAACTGATCTTTCCCAGACGAACGAGGTCGCTGTACAAGTCGTGCTTTGTCTTCAAGTTCTTCTTGACCTTTACGAAATCGTTTACACCATCTTTCAACTGCTCTAAGACAAGGAGTTTGATCAATGTGAGCAGAATATAGTTCTTCATAAATAACTCGCGTTTGAATATTAAGTGCAGTATGCATTTTGATTTAGAACCGAATGTTTTCCGAAGTAATTAGGGACAGTTAAAGTGTTAGAGTTTAATTCGACTTTTGTCGCGTGACTTTCTCGAAGGTATACGAATAAGCTATATGTGCATGAAACTAATGGAATATGGTGGACGGCTAAGCGACAGAAGAGACGAGAAAAAAAGAAAAAAAAACAGAAAAGAAGAACAGAGAAAAACCAAAAATCGTATAGAAATGGATGATAATATCACATAATACAAAAGTTAAGTTTCATACAAAGATAGTTCTGGTCGACATTTTATTAGTGTGATACTAGCTGGATAGTGATGGAATAGCATAGAAAAATAGAGCTTCATTTTCTCTGTCATTCTAGAAAAAAAAGAGTTTTTTTTACCCCTTTATCAGGAAATAAGATACCATCAGCATTAGTTTTGGATATACCTAAGTATTTGTGAACAAAAAACCATCGTAAGATTACCAACTCTATATTAATTTTATGCGTTGATTGACCGTTCGACAGATACAGACACTATCAATTAACTGTCTACTTAATCTGCCTTCCACGCTATGTTTGCTTTGATATATCTTAAATATGTGGAAAATATATCTTTGATAAACAGTAAGAAATCAAAATAAATTTATGATAAACTACAATATTAGACAATTATTCGATTTTGTTTTTATAACGCTATGTGATACTAAAGTGAGTTGAGAAAATATAATAAGGATGCAATGTTGACCATTGACTTAAAATAATAGTCTAATTCATGCTTATGCAACGAAATAGTCTTCAACATTGGTAAAAAGTTTTGATTTGATAAAAAAACCAACTTTAAAAAAATTCAGACTGGTCAGTAAAGAAAAAGTTATGTGTACCAGTCAGTTTTGTTACCAGTTACAACTATGACTAGGTATATGGGACCAGAAAGTGATGAAAAGAAACTTTGAATATCAAAACAGAAGTCAAAACATAGGAGTTTTGTGAAAATCTGCCCCTTTTTCAGCTTTTTTTATGTGCAAGTTTTTCTATACAGTAGTTTTTGTAGGAGAAAAAGATAAAAGTTCAATTATATAGATAACTTTTATGCTGAATCGAACAATGCTATTAGTAAGAGGCACTTTTGGAGAGCAATGCAAAAGGTATATTTGCCGAAATTCTCATGGCTCTGCATCGTGTCAATTAAAAATGGCGCGCTCGTCACTCATCATTCTTGACATCTATTAGACAAAGTTAAGGACAGAACTTCATATTAGAAATAGAATGTTTGAGCAAGATTCTGAGATAGCGAGATTCATTTTGCCGTAAAAATCTTATGCTTGATGAGCTATTGGCACTTGGAATTGAAATTAACTTTGTAAAACTTTGATTTGAGCAGCCTCTACGACATGAAGTCGTGACTTATGTGAAATGGTTCTTGCAACATCACACAGTAAGATTCTTATATAAAATTACAAGAATCTTGTAAGTTTTCTGTGCCTGATTGTTCGTCCTTAATCTAATTCTTGCTGACAATAGCTGCATCCTGTGAAACTGCAGTCGGAAATCTAGAGTTTCCTCGGTAGAAATGAGACGTGTTTCGAGCAAGAGAAAAAAATGATTGCAATTCAGCCTTTATTTAACACTCTGGAGTGCAATATAGGATATGAAAGCATAGCTTAACAATGGTCTGTACATTTGTAGGTCATGCGGTTCTCCGAAGTGGATGATTTCCAGACAATGAGGATTTGTAAGTCATCGTTGTTTCATTCGAATTCGACATTTCCTCCCTTCGAATTTCAGTTCCACAACTTTTCGTCCGTCATTTAATTTGGTTTAATTATACGTTATCATATTTTGCATTTTTTTCTTGCATTGGTCTCACATTATTGAAAGATTTAGAAGAAACGACGTCTACATACTGTAACGTTTATAACTTTCTTCCGACAATATCAATGTCAATTGGCTATTGTTTTCCACAAAGTTGCATTTGGTATTTCTGTTTTGGGTTGACTAGCTTTCCTCGTTATATTACCGGTTATTTACAAATGAAACGCCGCATCTCGCGTTCTGACATAGCACTACCCAAACTTTATGCACTAGCGCAACGAATTAATGGATTTGTTCATTTTCTTGAAGTTACTTGTGTTCTTCTTCTTACGTATATTTCATTACGTGAAATTGTATGGATGCACGTAAACTCATACTTCGGTTTTATTATATTTTCTTTCTTACACATGCTGTTTACTGTAGGAATCGATTATATGTGGCCACATACCATTTATGCAGAACTAACCGAACTAGAAAAGAAATTACGAGCAAAACGATTACGATGGTTTCTTTTAAATATGTCGTCGTTTTTCATTTCGCTCTATTTCTACCGTCGTCACACCAACTTTTGTGAACCGATTATGTATTCGATGCATTCTCTTTTTGAATATTTTACTATACTTACGAACATCGCCTATCATGCAGTTGCGATAGAAGAATGGAATCAACAAGGACAAATTTAGATTTGGTATTAGAATAAATAAGAATCTCTGTCGCGATTAGACATGTACCAAAACCCAACTCAATTTCGAGTTTCGATACCAAACTTTATAGGATTCAGCTCAATTTGAGCCAGAGATCCAAACAGACTGTTAGGCCTGCCTGCCTGGGACAGACACAGGCCGCTATTTCTAAGTTACAGACGACGCAGGCCCCTAAAAATACATAGGCCGCCTACCTGTTATATTTTTCTTAATTTTCAACAAATATTTCATCTTTAATCAGAAATGTGGCTATCAGTATATTTATCTAAGTATGTATACGATAAAGAATGATTTTTCTCATATAGATTGGGCACGTTCATCAATAGAAAAACAGATGAATCTAATTAGAGCAATCCAATAGTAGTGAGAGAGATACCGGCTCCCTATCATTTCGTTCCATTACACTTCGTCCCATACATTTTGTCCACTGCCTTTTTGTCCCAAACTCACTTTGTTTCATACATTATGTCGCTGCACAATTTGTCCCATTGGACAAGTCGATGATTTCACTTAATGTACAGGGTGGGAAACAGTATTATTCCAGGGGGTTACCGCTTTAATTTCAAATAGAAGACATGATGTATTTTATACCAGATGAAAGCCCGTGAAAATTGGATTTAGGTATATAACTAGTCTTTCAAAAAATGAGAATATACTATAGAAATATGGAGAGTTTCAAATTTAAGTGAAATAATTGGACCGTTTTGCTGGTAGTGAACCAAAAAACATGAAGCTCTCGAAAAATATTTTTGTCTTTTAAGGTTTGTACAGCTCTTCACGCTGATCATTTTAGAAATTTTTTTTTAATTCCATCGATAAATAACGGCGCTAGAGTTAAAATACTGAAAACTTCATACTGCTCTGATTAATACACTTAATACGCGTTTGGGTATTTTGGCTCTGAAATCATTATTCATCGATGAAATTAAAAAAAAATTTCTAAAATGATCAGCATGAAGAGCTCTACAAACCTTAAAAGACAAAAATATTTTTCGAGAGCTTCATGTTTTTTGGTTCACTAACCAGCAAAACGGTCCAATTATATCACTTAAAGGACGGGGGCGCATAAGAACAGAAATCGGCCCATTCTTAGATTTTCAAAAGAAATACATCACTCGATGCAGAATTTCACGGGGAATCTTTTGGTGCTAAATTCAATGACTTTTTGAAAGAATTTAACGACTTCCGATACACTTTACTAAGCCATCTATTTCTGCTATTTTTTACTCCGTATTTTGACAATTACTTACTCGAAACTGGGCACCGTCTAACATTAAATATTCTCATCTGAAAGAGCAAAAGATTCTGCACAAATCCCTATATAAGCCATGCTAAAAAACAGAAAAAACATGAACTTATCTGGTACAAAATGGTAGTTACACCGACATTTTGACCTATAGAATAAATGTTAGTGCTATAAGGACCTATAAAAATTGAGCCATGATGAGGTTTCTTATATGAGGTTCGATGCAGTTTTTCACGCACTACAAAATGGTATAGTTGGTATATCTTTATTTTTCTGGCCAATAGTTTCTAAAGGAGACATATTATATAAAGCTGTATCTTATACTCTACTATAAGTAATGAAAGTATGATATAGGTAGCGGATCTTTGAGAAAATACTGAATATCGCTCTGTTAATGAAATAGAATATCATCTGCTGTAATATCGGATGTGTAGACTTGCAGTTATTTCAATGAGTGCATTGGATAGCTTTTAGCAGTTTTTAGTTCAGTAAAAAGGTGAGGTTGAATTTGAGAAGGATAGATTTTTTACTAATAATAATAAAAATAAAGCTTAAAACGTCCATAATACAGAGATGGATTAAGTACTTTAGTCGTCGCCGCTTTCACTTTGGTCACTGCCGGTGCTACCATCATCAGTTCGCTCAACATCGGAATATTGAACGCAATCGTCGACAGCATTAAGTTAGTTGGTTGCCGAGAGTTGGTTATCAGTAGGAGTAGTTTCACTACGACAGACACCAAGGTGCCAAATCAGAGCAGTTACATGTGCACAACATCCAATATTGCGTGCTCCGGCCAAATATGTACAGTAGGGGTGTCACTTTTGCGTTCCGTTCTCAGGAACGGGAACGCGGGCAACGTTCCCGTTCCCAGAACAGGAAATGCTAAGAAACATACCTCTCTCGGGTTGTTTATGTGCTGTACGAAGAGCAGATACGACTCCGTCTTTTAAAAAATGACCTAGATGTGTAGCGTTCCCGTTCTCAGGAACGGGGAACGCGGGTACCGTTCTGTTCTCAAGAATGGGGAACGCAACTTACGTTCCCCGTTCCTGGAAACGGAGAACGCAAGTTTCGTTTTAACGCTCACGAAATTAGAAATATGAAGAAATATTCTTTCTATTAATCAAAACAAGTGTTCATGATGAGTCTGCCATAACAGCTTAAGGATTGAGAATGAGAAATATCAACATTCCCTGTTCCCACGCGTTCCGTTCCCAAAGAACGGGACGCATTTCATATAACATTTTCTGACCTTTTTCAAGTGGAATTAAGCTGTTGATATCTGTTTATTTACAATTTCAAAGTCAAAGTGTTATGCGTTCTCCGTTCTAAGAACGGGAACGCGGACACTGTTCCCATTCCTAAGAATGGAGAACGCAAGTGCTGTTCCCGTTCCCAGGAACGAAGAACGCATAATACTTTAACTGCAAATTAAAAATAAACAAATGTTTACAGTTTAATTATACTTGAAAAAGACAGAAAATGTTATATGAAATGCGTTCCATTCTTTGGGAACGAAATGCGTGGGAACGGGGAACGCTGACATCCCTGATGTACAGTACCATCCTTTAATGGGTTCATTATCATCATCTTCATCATATTGGACAGTCGCTACATATTTTTTTCTACTAGAGTGTCTAGAAGCAAAGCGTACTCATACAAGATCTTTATATTTTGAGGAGACTTCGACGATGAAATCATATTGATCGTCGTCTATCGGTATGTTCAACAATATAACTTTTCGCTTGTTTGATGTGGTACGTTCCTAAATCAAAATACTTTGTCAAATTTTGTAAATTTTGTCAAATTTTGTAAATTTTGTCAAATTTTGTAAATTTTGTCAAATTTTGTAAATTTTGTCAAATTTTGTAAATTTTGTCAAATTTTGTAAATTTTGTCAAATTTTGTAAATTTTGTCAAATTATGTAATCGGCATTCACGCAATAAATATCAAACAAATATCTTCCACATCATTTTCAGATAGAGTAGGAAAAGTGATCATTTTCGCTTCAAATTGCTTCCAGTGTGGTTTGTTTTCGGGTCTAGTGATTTGTTCTAAACGCTTTTCTAGTTTGTTTTGTTTGTCACGAAGATTTCGCATTCATGTTGCCCACTTTTTGCTATTTAGTGTGTCGATATTATTCACTGCTTGGTAAGCATTGAGTAGGGCACAGACGATGTTCAAATAGCTATCAACAAAAGGAATAGTTGAGTTTTGAATGGTTTGTGAGAAATATCGCCATTGCTTGATCTTTCCATTAACTAGTTACAAGATTGTTGAAATGAAATATCAAAGCTGAAAATACTTCGTTAGTAAGCATACCACTTTCTAATATCCATCTCACTTTGGTAACACATCGTGAGTGATTGACTTCTTTACAAGACAATTGCTTCTTTCCTTTCAGAAAATCAGGCATTTCAACATTAAAACCAAATCTTTCAATTGTATTGATGGAATCCCGAAAACCGCGATCTACAACGATAATATCATCTTCATGTAGCCAATTTAATATATCTTGTTCGTTGTTAATAAATATATTTTTGGCGATTGAAGCATCATTGTTTTTACCATCGGCTAAGAATGGTCCTACGACACTTAAGATGTATCCATCCTATATAGCGTTTATAGATGACATTTATTATGAAAATTTCCAAACAGTCTTCTAAAAGTCTAATTCATTAATATAGACACAAGTATTACTCACAGTTGCCGTGGTAATCATAGGTTTTATCAAGTTACGATGCTTATGCATACTAAATGAACGACGTTGGAACTCATTGTTTATTGACTTGTGCACATATAAATACGTTCCATCCATTACTATAATAACTTGATCATCTTTCTCGGCCATTAGTTGTGAAGTGATATAAGTTTGATGATGTTTAAGAACAGTCTCTCTTTCGATGTGTTGAAATCCAAGATGGTAAGGAACAAAATCTTTCAACAGCGCCCGTTACTTCATGAATAATTCGTGAAACAACGCGTTTGTTTTTCAAATGGAATAACGTGGCTAATACTCTATTACTGATACCTAATCGCATCTTAACTAGGAAGACAGCCAGTGCAACACGAACTGATCGAACATATGAATTACGCATTGATGTAATACTACTCAACAGATTATCGAATTGATCTGAAGAAAAAATCAACATGAAATACATTATTTAACAATTTATACCTTTTTTCAAACCAGTCATGTTATAATATGATTCTTCACTCAAAGAGGTTGAATCATCAAAATCAAATGTTTTCAAATTTTGGATGGTAATACAGCAATCAGTACAACAATACCTCGTTTCACAAAAACCATTTTCTGCTGTTCTTTTGACAAGACCTTAGACGAAGCCACATCATTTTTCTTGCACATAAGACAAGTTCTTGATGAAACCAGACATGCAAAAAAATTGGTATTCAAGATAATCTTAACTAACCGATGTGATGCCGATGTCCGACTGATTGGAATTTCTATTGTTCTTGTTTCTTCAACTGTCTGAACACCAACCTCTGCCATCTCTTCATACTAAATCGAAATGATCGTACCTTCATCAGAAACAAAAGTACCATTAATTACCATAACCGTCATGGCATCGTTTGAATTGTTCAAATGGCCAAAATCTTCTTTTGTCTTTTTGATCCAGTTGTCGAATTTGCATCGGCATTTTCGACAAGCATGGTCAGAGACCGATATACCTTTTTTAAGCACCGAGCAGAAAGAAATAACCGGAAAAGATTGTTTGAACATCCATGTTGATAGTTTCCGTCCATTTGTTTATCACAACCAACACAGGTGATTCGATTCGCTCTTGGCATTTGGAAGTACACTGTATCAAGTAGAGCGTACGTTTGATTTCGTCGAAACGCGAGCCCCACTATTTCTATATCGAACAAAACAGACAACATTAGAACACATCTCGTACTTAGAGCGAGATATCTTATACCGATATCATCTATTTCCAGCACAATTTTTCACCTCGATGATATATATCTATACGATTACAATAATCTAATACGAATATATGTTACGGGCAAAACTGGAATTCGGTCAAATCTGAGATTTGCCCGAATTCCGGTTTTGCCCGTAACATATATATACTTTTGGCATCTGTCAAAACACCACCTGGAAAAGAAAAAAGAATGAGCAAGAGAACAATGATGACTAATCTAATCTTTGGAAAAAAACACAGCAATGTTAGCATACAAGTCTAAATCACATTCA